TTAAAGAAGATCAAGATGAACTCATTTCATGTCTTTTCTGAGTAGCTAAAGATTTTTGTAACAATTTTATATATTTAGGATTATTGTTCTGTATGAGCCTTCTTTACAGTCATTCTTTAAAACCTACAAGTACAAAGCAAACAAAACAGAAGAGATCATATTTTCAAAGTTTATAGGTCATGTGTGATGATATTTTATTTGTGTTCTAATAAATAAAGCTTATCCGTGGATCTGGGGGAAAAAGCTAGCCACTATGTTAAACATAGAGGCCAGGCAGTGGTAGCCCGTGCCTTTAATCCTAGCATTCGGGAGGCAGAGAGTCATCCAGATCTCTGTGAGTTCACGGCTACATTGGGAACAGAGTCCGGCATAGTGGCACATGCCTTTAAACCCAGCACTAGTTAACCATAGCAGTTTGGAGGTCTATACAGACAGACAGGAAGTGATAGAACAGGATGGGAAGAGAAAATGTAGCTGGGTGGAAAGAAGAGGTAAGACATCAGGGCAAGAAGGGTATATAGGAATGAGTATACAAGAAGTAGCTCTATCTTGGCTGAGGATTTCCTAGAGGTAAGACATGGCTGGACTGTTCTCTGATCTTTCAGCTTTCACCCCAATACCTGGCTCCTGGTTTTTGGTTAATAGAACCATTTAGCAATTTGTGTTACAGTCATGTCTTAACTAGAAAATTAAAACTTCATGGCCAGAGTTCCTTCAGAGAATGGGGAAAAAAAGCATCCTTTAACCCCCAACAATAGCTTAGTATTTTTATCAAATTCTGTAAATAAAAAATTACTTTAAACTTTAACTGAATATTGTAGACTTTTAATGAATTTTTAGTCCTGTTATTAAATTAGAAATGTCTAAGAAGTAAAACCTTTAAAAGAGATATTTAATTTACTAGGTTTAAATTGGGCCAAAGGTGATCATTCTTAATGTTTTCAGAAATATTTTATCTCATGACCCATTTATTAATTTTGTTATCATTTTTATACTTCCTTGTGTAAATATTGTTTCATAGTTTATTTTTAATTTAACATAATATGTCCTTTCAGGCACTCATAAGTTGATCTCAAAAAAAATGAAGAGCTGGGTGCATACACACTGGTGACTTAGACACAAAATCCCAGTACTTAGCAAGCTGTTGTTGAAAGATCAGAAATTTGAAGATATCCTGGGCTATCTTCTCCTGTTTGCTCGCCATCAAAAATAGTAAAAGAAGTAGTAAATATAAATGCCAAGATATTTGATATTTCTTGAGGAAAAATGATGAATTAGTTGATTAAATTGAATATACTATAATTAAAAAGATAGCTTGGAAACACAACAAGCCACATCATTAAATATTGGGTTAAAAACAGAAATTCTAATTTCAGAGTGCTGGAGAAATGGTTGAGCATGTAAGAGTATACCTTGCTATCTCAGCAAACTTGAATCCAACTCCTAATGTCGATACAGTGTAGCATACCACCACCTGTGACAACAGCACTGTGACAACCACCTGTAACCTGTAAGCTCCAGAGGGTCTGGTGCCTTCTTCTGCCCTCTAGAAGCATTCTTACATATATGCACACATGCATAAATACACAGGGACACACAAACACATAAATAAAACCATAATAGGATAAAATAAAAAAGGAGATTCTAGTTTCAAATTTCCTTTATAAAGCCTTAATTGGTAATTATATTGATCAAGACATTAGTTTCTAATTTTTAAAACAGAGAAAAAGACAATCTATACCTTGCTTTAATTGTAAACTGGTTGCAAGGCACAAAGCTGGTATCAGGGAAGACAGTTTGTGTAAAATATAAAACATTCAATAAACACAAAGTAGAGCCTTTCAGAGCCATCTCTGCCCCAGAGATATTTAACTTTAAAAAAGGCAGCATCAGAAGAGCTGTTTATTTACAACATTTTGTTAGCACGATATGAGAAAATGGACTTTTCTGTGTGACTCTCCATTCATTTGTAAGTGACACTGAGTTTACATACCGGTGGTCCTGTCTCCTTGAAGACTGGGTGTGTAATAGCACCGATTTGCCCATTTCTGTGCATTCACTCGGGCATCATTACTCCATTGCTAAAGAGGAAAAGGAAAGAAGATACCCATGGAAAA